ATGCTGACACACAGACACACCCTGAATTTTCTCTCCATGCAGACAGTTTTTTTTAATGGAGGTGTTAATTAATAATGAATGAGGAGCAGCAGGCTGAATTAGTCCAGACTCCCAAAGTCATATCGTCACAATGTCACACGTTTTCATACCAGCATAATATACCAGAGGCACAGCCACTTCTCAGTGTCCTTTAAAAAATCTCAACGCCAGTCTTTCGGACATAAACTGTTCTTGCATCATAAACAATATTATACAAGAAAAGAATACACAAAAACGCCCCACATCATCTATTTTTTCGTCATCTTTTTTGCCATTGTCCAATTGGATGATTTGAGAGGCGGGCTGTCTGTGGTGGTCACGACATCAAGTTTACAGTTGGTAAACAATGGAGGAGAAAGTGGTGGTAGCGGTTGCTAGAGAGCTGTACGGACCGACGATAGACAGCAGGTTGTCAAACTGCCCCCAAGTCATCATAAAATATGCCTGGAAACGTCCATCATCGAGGCGAAGCTCCTGGACCAACTGGTGGTACTCCCCGTGATCCACCCTCTTTTTTAGGGTCTCATGTACCCACACAGATCTCCGTTTCCCTGTGTCCAAGAACCTATTAGCTGACAGCCTCTCACCCTCAACCACAGCTACAGCAAGTACCCTTTGCCTCTAGGAATACTGATTACTGCCAAATAACAAAAAAATAAATAAAATAAACGGTTGATTGATTACACAGGAAGGAGGTTAGTCTGTGGTTGTCTGGCAACAATAAAAAGGCGCAAGAAGCGTTTTTTTCACTAGCTGCATTCAAATTTTAATTTTTTTTTAAAAAAGGTAGTGTGGCACGCCTTGCGTATTGCAACCTTTGTGTGACTTAGGGGACTTAGGAAGCATTTATTATTCACTACCCTGTTGGCTCGTCGGCTGATTCTCCTCAGTTGGAAACTCCCCAGTCCCCCCTCGCATTCTCGTTGGGTTCGTGAAGTGCTTTATAATTTGAAGCTCGAAAGACTCAGGTTTACACTAAAAGGCTCGGTGAAATCATTTCATGTTACTTGGGATCCTTTTCTGAATCACATACATTCTCTAGACTTTTCCTCTGAGTTGGAGGATTGATATGTGTAATTGTTTATTTACTTTTTTAAAATTTTTTATTCAATATCATTTAACCTTTAGTTCTTATTTTTTAATTTATTATTATTTTTCAATTCCTTTTGTACTTATTCATTATTTATTTATTTATTTACATTTTCATTTCTATTTTTGAACTGCTCTTTTCATCTATTTCTTTCTCTCTTATTTGGGTTTTGAGTGATTGGCCTGGCAGTGGGTTGTGGGGGTGGGTGGGAAGGGAGTTGATACTCAGATGTGACAATCAATGTTTTGTCTGTTTTTTTCTTTACCTGATGCTGTATATCACACTGTCTTGTCTAAAATGTTCAAAATGTTCTATAAATAAAGTTGGAAAAAAAAAAAAGGAAGCATTTATTATGGCAAAAAACTCTACCAAACAATAGTCCGACACCCATTTACCAGTAACTGACTGTGATAGTCTGGTGACCTGTCCAGGGTGTACCCCGCATCTCACCCAATGTCAGCTGTGATAGGCTCCGGGCCCATAAAGATGAAGAACAGCCATATCTATTTTCAGATAAAGTCTGCATGTTTAGAAACAGTTCAGATGTGACATATTAGCTGCTGACATCCTCAGATGTCTGATTTTGAGCAAGTGCAAGCTACATGTGTGGCCTGCAAATGTATGTGTGTGTGTTCATGCATGTTGTAAGTGAGAAGAAAGGAGCAGACAGCTGCTGACTCCTGCTCAATCTGGAAAGTAATCGCCACAGGGAGGGATGGTGTGCACTGTCTGTTTGTGTGTTAAAGTTAATGTGTGTGTATGTGTGTCAATACCTTGACTGTGTGTGAGGAGAGGAGAGGTATTTAAAAAAGCCAGAACAAATGTGCATCAGACAACTTCACAACCAATTGGAGATAAGAATAGACATCTCACACACACACACACACACACACACACACACACACACACACACAGGATGAGGTTTAAAGAGTTTTAGCTGCTATTGGATGACCATGGATGAATAAGCCATTAGTGAATCACACACACATAAACAGACAATAACAACAGCGGTCACTTAACTAACTAGGCCATCACTCGGAGGATTAGGGCCGTCTCTCTATCTCTCTCACTGTGCACTCTTTTATCACGCTATCATTTTACATTTTTGTCAGAGGCAGGCAGGTCTATCATCTTTATATCAATCCATCTTTCTCTCTTCTTGCTGCTCACGCTCCTCTGTCTCAGGCAAATTTTAGCCTTATCTGTTTTGTCTGACCTTTGATCTTTCCTCTTCTACTTTGATTCAGAGAGGAATATTGTACTTTTTACTGCACTACATTTATTTGACTCGTATCCACCTCATTCCTAGCCCCTATGATATCTTGCATGAATTATGGGCACAACCTCTGGCACTAAACCTAAATTGGATTTTTCTAGTAATGGTACCCGATGCAATGCTAATCCTCTATTCTAGAGCGAATAGGAAATAAAACTTGTGGAATGCACTACCTGTTAGACCTCAGATGGGGGTAACATGATCATACCTCTGCCATCTTTGACAGCCATCTCGAAGTATTGGTTGCTCTGTTAACATATTGTTACATATATTTAACACGGCCCGAGCTAGCTTATGGTAATTATTGACTTTTTCTAAAAGATTATATATGTTTTCTTACGACTCATAAATAGATGTTAACACATTTGATGAACAATTAACCTAATTCAGTATTAATTTTGGCTCCATGTCAGGTGAATAAACATGATGTTTCCCATTCCATCCAGTTGTATTAATGACACAGTTTACACATTTTTGTAACTGCTGACTTATTAAATCAGACTTCTACTGAGTGAAACTTAACCCCAAATTTAGCAGCAAACCTCAGTAATATCAGTAGTATAAAGTAGTAGTAAAATAAATTACTTCAGGCATTCATTTTACATAATCTGAAAGAAGTACAGCAATTCAGTAACTCATTCTCAGCCTAGATGCCCAAATACGTAATTCAAGGTATGCTGCTGAGTTAATTTTTTACCCGGCAACTGGTTGTTAGTTACGTTACAGACACATATAGTGCAAAAAGTACCAGAGTGCCACAAGGACATTTTAGAACATGCTAATTTAATGGTGGTTAAATATCTGTTAAACAACAAAGTAGCTGAACCAATTACTTGACTGAAAGATTCAGTGTGTAGGGTTTAGGACATCTATTGGCAGAAATGGTATATAATATTCATAACTATGTTTTCAATATTTTATAATCACCTGAAAATAAGAATAGTTCTGTTTTCATTACCTTATAATGAGCTGTTTATACAACATACAGAGCAGATCCTCTCCTACAGAAGCCCAGAATGTACAAATTAAATACTGGCTCTAGATAGGGCCACTCACATTTCTGCATCAGCCATCGTAGTTCTCATACATGCTTAGCACGGGGAGAAGATTCAGTTCTGGAACCTCACTGCTAGATGTCATTAAATTCTACACACTGGACATATAACGATTTGTCGATAGACATTAATATACTGTTTAAGTCATTTACTAAACGTCCTGACCTCCTATTATTTGCATTATTTGCAAGGCAATCTCAGCTGACACTGGGCAAGATGTTGGGTCAGGTGTCAGCCCCACCTCTGTCACAGAGCTAACACATATAGACAGACACCATTCACACCTCTGGACAAGTAAGAGTCACAATCACAGTACTTTAACCTGCACGTCTTTGGACTGTGGGAGGAAACGAAAGCAGGCGAAGAGAGACTCAGCCATAATTTTATGTGGAGAAGATGCAGTACTCCACCCAGAAATCCTCTAGCTCACTGGATAAATGTGCTGCCCATTTACTGAATAATTATTCTTTTTACTACACCCTCTCAAATATAAGGATTGGTCTCTTTTGTGCTTCATATTGATGCAAATGCATGATGTGTTTGTATAGATCTTTTAGCATTTACAAGATTATGCAACTGATAAAACGTGATTCATTATACTGTTTATGATAATGACAGATGCAACCCTAATGGAACACAGTATGTGTAGGCAAACAGATTACGTCATGTGATTAGGATGCTGTCTAATATATTCAATTCACTGTGCTGCACTGAGGACCCCTGGAGCCCCCCTAAAGCACCCTCGAGGATCCTTAAAGCAAAGATGTGAAGGCCTCAATTCCTCCTGATCCACAAAACCAGAGCAGGTCTGCATGCACAAAAAACCCTCGGTACAAAGAAGATCAAATCACCTGTTCAGTTCACGCCACACACACATACACACTCCAGCAGTCTCGTTTGTATGCATGACGCCTCCAAACCTTCCTCTTCATCATCCTTATCATCATCACTGTGACTCAATGTATTTGGTAGAACAGAGACAAACCTATAAACGAATATGAGACTTACATAACGCCTGACACACACACACACACACACACACACACACACACACACACACAAATTGCACACAGCCTTATTGCACTGATGGCACTCCACATACAAGCACACACACACACACACATATTTCGTCGCTGAGAGGCACATGATGCTAGCTTGCAACATTTATTAGTTTAGCTCAGAAATAGCGTCATGTAAAATTCAAACAATGTCATTTAAAATATCAATCAGTGAAGAAAAGGCTCGCATTAATTAATTCACATTCATATGTAGGGGGAGAGACACGTCATTGGATGACTGAAGATATAAATTAATACGCAGATATTAAGCTAACATTAATGTAACGTTAGCAGGTGGAAAATTAACGGTTATTAACGTTTCAATCCTGCGGTTATTAACGTCAGACGACGTATTATCAATCATTTTAACGGTCTAAATCTGAATATTAACAATTAATTCCTCCCAGTCTTGACAAACACTACTAGTTTTTATAAAATAAGCCCTGACATCATAATTTTTCTCATTATTTTTGGCTCCTTACCCTTTTTCTTCCAGATTCCCAGACCCTCCTCTACGGGAGCTTCTCACTGTTGCCCAGCACTAGCCGAGTACGCGAGGAGGACAGCTGGCACAGTGCGAGCCGCAGATGCTTCAATCAGTCCGGCAGCAGCCAATCAGAAGCCACTTCGACCAGCGCAACGGAGAAACTGACCAATAGGAGACGAGACGTGTCTGGCGGAGGGGTCTCCTCTGCTCAGTAGACAGGGGCGTGTCTGCTGCCTCCAGAGACATGTTACCTTCAAATGCTGTCGGACAGATTAAGATAATTTGCAAATTGCGAATGTTCTTCATGATTAAATCGAATCAGTGAGGTACAGGTAATAAAAACGTAAAGTATTAACCACAACCACTATTAATAAGTGCTGTATCTATGGAGAAACTATGCATTATTGTGATAAATACCATGAGAGCACAAAAGCAGTAAATGTTGTTAGGCCCCTTCACAGGCACTGCACCCCAAGAAAATACTAGACACGATTCAGTTAAATATTTTAATATGCTGCAAACGACCTCTTGGTGGTGATATGATCAATACCAGCCCCACTCTGTAGATCAATAAATATCAATATGATCAATAAATTACTAAGAAGGGAAACCTTCTTAGTAATTTTTTATTTNACATGTATGTGTGTGTGCATTAAACACACTTGAACCACAAGGACTTAATGAAGAACTGAGTCTCTCGTGCTATTTGCGATCCTTATCTCATTAAGAGGATTTTGTATTATTATAGCTTGTGATAGTTTGCATATACCTGACAGTTGTTTCACAGTGTCACACCTGTTTTTTTAGTGAGTGCTGTCATTGTATTGGTCTATAGATTGAGTACCTCCCATCATTATTGTCTAATGAAAGACTGTTCTTGGTATGGAGGAGGTTATTTCATTTTTTCAATCAGCACCATGACTGTTTGACTCTGGTAAAGACGCAATGCACATCGAAACATTGGTCATTTTGCACCCTGTTAAAATATTTAGGTGAATCATGTGCTCCAGTGTTTTCTTTGGGTGCAGTACCACTAAAGGGGCCCACTGAACTGTTTGTTGCAATACGTCCTTCCTGTGAGCACTGACCTCAACTTGTGGAGGGTTTGCATTGCAAGTGACTCCTTCAATTCAGTAAATATAGTAGCCTACTATATAGGGTTGCAGCAATATACCGGTTTCAAGGTATTCATGATATGAAAGTTAATGGTTATCATATCGTGTGTATTTGCTTATCTATCATATTGGGGAAAAAAATGCAATTGGGCAGAGAATCTCCCCTTTATTTTACTTACTTTCAAAGTGGAGACTTTTTACTCATACCTCCATTAACTAAATGGTTTTGAGTTTCAATCTTAGTCATAAAATGTTTGTTTGACCAAAAAAAATCGTTCGATTTTTTTGCCTTTACGAGCCATTTTGAATGATAATAATATACATTCTGTAATGCCGTGATACCATGAATCAGCAATATTTCCTGAGACAGTTATTAACTATAAACTATAATGAGCTATAAATATGTTGTTTTAACATCAAAAAGGCTCTCACAAGTCACTCTACCTCAATAACAATTGCACTACTTGACTCATTATTTCTGCAAAAAGGCATATATACTATATTAATTTATATTATTACTATTATTTATTCATATCAGTTATATAATCTAAGGTGTAGTCATGTGTATTTTTTTGTAATTTGATGCCATGGTTCTAATTTCTTTTTATTCACTTAAATAGATATTAATGTGTTTTGATTTTGTCTCTGAAAAAAATTAAAAAACTTCTTTTTTTAAAAAATTTTTTATCTTATAATTAAGGTAAAAGTATTTTGTAAAGTTCAGCAGCACATACTGGACTGTCCAATGTTCTACTTGGCTTTAGAGGCCCACATCAGTACTGTTACTGTTGCCCACTCCCTCTAAGAAGACAATGGAAAACACCCTGCAGTAAACATATACCAGTTAGATAGGATTAACAAGCATGTATTCTTTAAGTTGCATGGAATAAAGATTAAACTCTGCAAGCCAGGTGGCTACAAAGAGATGAATGTACCCTCCATTAACCTGCATAAAATACTAGAAAATGTTGTATTTCCTCTGTTATGTAATTTGCACAGATTATGCTCATCACAAAATAAATGTTGCACAGGTTGATTAATTTCTAAGATGAAACACTGTACAAAAAAGAGAAAGACACTGCATTCAGTTTGGTATCATTTCTGACCCGCAGCACTTGAATGCTGCATGTCGTCCACTCAAGGAGCACTTGAAGGCAGCAATATGTGGCTGAAGGACCACAGCATGGAGACAGGGCCCTCCTTCTTGGCAGCGTGACTGACTGGTGCTGTGGTGTGTTGCTGTTGAGGAGGTGACAGCAGTGATGACAAAGGATTGTTAAAGGTGTAAACTGATGAGTAATTTACTACCAGTCTGTCTTTTACTGTTTGTGGATGTAAATTCACACCATTTCTGAAGTGATGATAGAGCAGCGGCTGATGACTTAGTGAATGCTATGATAAATCATAAATGTCTAGATTAGCAAACTGTCATCTTAGAGGGAGCAGGCACTAGATAATGAGCAGTTAATAATGTGACCTTCTTAGGTACTGCCTATTGTGTTTAATTCAGATTTGTTCAAGAACAATTACCGTAATAATGGCCATTTATACAATGTCTTAATCCATCCCAACGCCCCATTAGACCATAGGACCACACGATTTTAGTCTTAAGTAAAATATATTGTGTGTACTTGTACTTGTGCTCTCACATGGTTGATTTGGAGTCTGTCTTGTCTTTCTTTTGTACTAAATGTGAAACAGAAATACTTTTTCCCCCAATAAGACACATCTATCATCCATGAAGGCTGCCAAAACTGCCCTAAAATCACTGAAGCAACTTTCATAAAATAGGAATGTGGCATTACATTTTTTAACCATGTTTGTTTTTGCTTCCATTTTTGACAGGTTTAAGGTAAAAATCAAAGACTTCTTTATGCATGCAAAAAACTGGCTGCAAATTTGTTGAAGTCCGTGTCACTGAGCACTATTTTCCCAGATAATCGTTCCACCTGACAGGTGTGGCATATCAAGATGCTGATTAAACAGCAGGTGTGTCTTGGGATGGTCACAATAAAAGGCCACTCCAAAATGCGCAGTTTGATCACACTACACAATGCCACAGATGTGCTAAGTTTAGAGGGAGCGTGCCATTGGCATGCTGACTACAGGAATGTCCATTAGAACTGTTGCTCCTGAACTGAATGTTCATTTCACTACCATAAGCCGTCTCCAGTGCATTTTCTGTGAATTTGGCACTACACCCAACCAGCTTCACAACAGCAGACCACATGTAACCACACCAATTTAGGACCTCCACATCCAGCATCTTCACCTACAAGATCATGTGAGACAAGCCACCCAAAAAGCTGATGCAATGATTAGTTTGAAAAATCTCTGCACAAACCATCATCAGCATGCTTTTCATACTCACCAGGGTCTTGACATGACAGCCATTTGTCTTCTTAACTGACTTGAGTGGGCAACTGTTCACTGATGATGGCGTCTGGCACTTTGGAGAAGGCACACCTGTGAAGTAATTATGCTGTTTAATCAGCATCTTGAAATGCTACACCTGTCAGATGGATGGATTAGATTGGTGAGGACAACAAGCCTGCAGATGAGCTTCCCTGAGACAGTTTCTGATAGTTTGTGCAAATTTTTTTCAGTTTTTCAAACCAATTGTTGCATTAGCTGTTGGGGTGGCTGCTCTCATGATCTCACAGTTGAAGACACTGGATTTGGAGGTCCTGAGCTGGTGTGGTTACATGTGGTCTGCTGTTCTGAGGCTGGTTGGATGTACTGCCAAATTCACAGAAATAAATGAACATTTAGTTAAGGGGCAACAGCTCTGGTGGATATTCTTGCAGTCAGCATGCTAAGCGCACGCTCCCTCAAAACATGTGTATCATTGTGTTGTGTGATCAAAAGGCACATTTTAGAGTGGTCTTTTACTGTGACAACTTCAAAGCCCACCTTTGTAGTAATGATGCTGTTTGATCAGCATCTTGATATGCCACACCTGTCAGGTGGATGGATTATCTTTGAAAAGGTGAAGTGCTCACTAACAAGGATTTGAACAAATTTGCAGTAAAAATGTTAAAGAAATATATATCTATTTGGTGCATAAAAAGTCTCAGATCTTTAACTTAAACCTGTGAAAAATGGGAGCAAAAACAAAGATGTTTCAAATTTTTGTTGAGTGTATTTAAATCCATCCTGTTCTTCAACACACTGGAAACACTGGGCTGTATCTTATTTAAAAAAGAAAAACATACATCATAACTTTCAACCCCACAGACATACACTGACATTAAGGGTGTACGAATTTTGACTTCTACATCTACATAAATTAAGTGGACCAGGTCCTGCTGATGTGTTATTGTGTGATTTGATGTCAGCAACCTTTGTCAGAGGAAACTGACATCAAAGACATAAAAGAAAATAAAACCTCAAATTGACAATTGTCACCTTTGACTGACATGAAGGTAGATAACACCGAGCCTTTAGACTAAATCACAAGAAACAGTCCTTTTTTTATTCACGGTTCATTTCTTACATTGTTCAAGTACAAAGTTAAAATGCCTTTTAATTAGTTCATATTCATACAAGAGTAAAATAATAATAGTGCCTTTTCATTACTACGACAAACTTAAATACAGTCATTGTAAAGACAAACTTGATTTATACTCCTAACAATATATTTTTCTTATTTTCAGATAAAATTTTAGCACCTTTTGAAACACCACCATGTCCTCCTCTTTTCCTAAAAGCTCATCTTTCCTTTAGTCCATGAGATGAGTGTCTGCATGCGCCACAGCATTGTATTTGTACGTGTTGTGCATGTGTCTCTGTGTTAATAACAGTGTTCTGTGTGTTGATGTGTTTGGAAGTGTATCAGTGTTGAAAACAGCGCATCACTCAGCCTAAAAGCTGTTGATAGGCGAACAGAAACATCATCACCGAGTCACCCATCGTTTAAAAATATCGACTCCATTCCTTTTCGCCTCTGTCCGACTGCACTCTCAAACAG